ATTTTTACGTTAAGATCTATTGGAGTCTCTGAAAGTTTCCATCCAATCGTTCATGTCTCTTTCAATAAGTCTAGGATATATTTTCTTTGAAATACAACAATTCTCTTTTTAGAGCGGGCAATTTCCATCGTAAGAAAATATCTTAAAGCTCCCAAATCTTTAATTTCAAACTCAGATGATCGGTGTGCTTTTAGTCTAGCCATTTCATTCAAGTCATATTCAGTAAGAATAATGTCATCGACATATATTATCAGTACTGAAATTTTTCCTTCAATTGATCGTCTAATGAACAAAGTATGATCTATTTGTCCCTAATGATAGCCTCATTTTTTTACCGACCGAGTAAACTTATCAAACCAAGGTCTTGGACAGTGCTTAAGCCCATATAATCATTTATTCAGTTTACAAACATTAGATATGAATTTCTCTTCGAAGCTAGGTGGAGAGTCCATTTAAACTTCTTCATCAAGATCTCTATTCAAGAATGCATTTTTGACATCCAACTATTGCAAAGGCCATTCCAAGTTCACAGCAACTGATAACAATACTCCGATTGTATTCAACTTAGCCACAGGTGCAAAAGTTTCTGAATAATCAATTCCATATGTCTGAGTATAGCCTTTAGCTACCAACCTAGCTTGTACCTTTGTAATGAGCCGTCAAAATTATATTCAACGGTGAACGCCCACTTACACCCAACTGTTGATTTTCCTCTAGGTAAAATCATCACTTCCCATGTTTTGTTTTTCTCTAGAGCATTCATCTCTTCAAGTACTACCTTCCTCCACTTAGGAACATTCAGAGCTTCCTGCACATTCTCTGGAACTTCTACACTCGAAAGTTGAAATATAAAGGAAGCAAAAGATGGAGATAACGGTTCATTAGACACAAAGTTAGACATAGGATATCTGGTACAAGACCTAACACCTTTTCGAGGAGCAGAAGGAATATTTAGATTATCATGAGACTCAACAGGACAAGTGGAATTTTTACTCAACTGTTTTAGTTCTGATTTCTGAGAGGAATCATGCTGTGTTGCGAAGTAGTTTCCTCTTTTCCTTGATTGTTATTCCTCTTTAAGTGGACAATGAGCTCTTGAGTATTTCTACCTTTTTATTTCCAATATCTGTAACTTCGTGATGGTATTAAGGTAGATTGTCATATATTCTCAGTATTTAAACCACTTGCTACTGAAACTAATTGATTATTCCTTTCTACTAAATCTTTTTTTCCTAAATCCGGACTATAATTTTGGCTGTCTAACCTACGGACAGCACTTATACTATCCTTAGCCCTTAACTTCAAAATACTTGAGCAATCATAGCCCTTAACTTCAAAATACTTGAGCAATCATTGTTCAACTGTTCATCACCCAGAACATATTTAGCACCTAAATTATCAACTGTGCTTCTGCCTAAGTCGAAATATTCTGCATTTTTCATACAGGTGTCTGATTCTAAGCCCAATTTTCCTACACTATTCAAGAAGTTTCTAAAATATGAACTACCAGCCGAATCTTCACAATCTTTATGACAAAAAGACCGAACAATTGAAAGAAATTTCTGTAAAGGTCTCCCCGTTTCATTGTGTTCTGTATTGTCTATATATATATATGTACAGTTATTTTGTCTACAAGGAAAGTACGTAAATTAATACAATCCCTAAAAATCAACAATAATTCATTCTCCCAATTATATTAAGTTATTTACAGTAACACTTTATTCTCCCCCCGAAGATGAGAATCAAAATATGGTTTATCTTCAAAAAATGTTATATCCATTGCAATAAACATCTTTTTTGAAATGGGATCAAAACATTTGTAACCTATTTCCGTTGGAGAGTATCCAATAAACACACATTTCTTAGCCCTAGGATCTAACTTTCCTCGGTTATGATCATGAATATGTACAAAAGCAATACACCCAAAGATTTTCAATTGCAATTCAGAATGTATTCGGGAAGATGGAAAGGTCTCTTAAACATTTCAAATGGAGTTTTAAACTTTAACACTGTTGTGGGCATTCTATTAATTAAATAAATTGCTGTAAGGATAGCGTCACCCCATAAATATTTAGGAACGTTTATTGAAAAATAGTAATGACCGAGCTACCTCTAGAAGATGCCTATTCTTTCTCTTTGCCACTCCATTTTGTTGTGGTGTAACGACAAGAGCTTTGATGTATTATACCATTTTCAACAAAATATTTTCCTAAAACCTTATTAAAGTACTCTTTCCCATTGTCACTTCTAAAAATCTAAATGTTGGTTTGAAACTGTGTTTGAACCATTTTATGAAACTCCTTAAATACTTTCTCAACTTCAGAATTTTCCATTAATAAATATACCCAACTTATCCTTGTATGATCATCTATTAGTGCGATAAACCAACGTTTTCCTGAAAGAGTACTAATTTTAGATGGACCCCATACGTCACAAATTTCACATTAGAACAAAGATAAATCTTTATTATCAAACAATGTCGGAAGCAAGTGCTTTAAATACTGAAAATTTGGATGGCCTAACCTAAAATGCCATAACATTATTTCATTATCACGAAAGACAAAAATAGATTTAAAACAAGTACTCAGAGATTGTTTTCTCAATTGAGTCATATCCTCAAAGAAGTAGAGTCCTCCACTTTGTCTAGCACTGACAATCGTCCTCCCAGAGTTTAAATCCTGAAACTTGCAATGAGAAGGAAAGAAATTAGCTTGACACCTTTGATCTAGGGCTAATTTGCTACTTGACAACAATTACAAGACAAGTTAGGAACATGGAGAACATTTTGAAGGATAATGGACGAAGAAAGAGGACTAAATCCTTTTTCAGCTATCTTAATTTTCTGATTTCATGTGCAAAGACTGTAAGATGAAAACAATTCTGCAGAACCAGTCACATAGTCTGTTGCACCTGAATCTATGATCCAAGAACAATTAGAATTAGCATTAGCAAGGGTTGTAGATAGGTAATTACCTTTATGGGCTAAGGAATAAGAAGAAGAGTTAATGGATGAGCAAAGAGGTTTTTGTAGGTGTTCTATTTGTTCCTTTGTGAAAGGGTTAGACAGTGTCGAAGCTGGCTGCATATCTACTTGGAAAGCACGACTGTCACCTCTATTCTTTTTCTTCCAATTAGGTGGCTTACCATGTAACTTCCAATATGTCTCCCTTGTGTGCCAATGATGCTTACATTGATCGCACCATGGTTATTTATTTTTTTTTTTAATTATTATTTTTTTTTCACTTAGTTTGTCTTCACAAGTTTGCTGTTCAGAACTTCTGGTGGCAAGAGTAGAGCACTCTGTTTCCAGGTTGCTGTTCAGCATCACAATTCTTCTTCACTCTTCTCGTCTAACCTCAAAGAACACATCACGAATCCCTGGAAGAGGCTTACATCCAATGATTCTACGCCGCACCTCATCAAGTTCCTGGTTTAGACTAGCGAGAAACACATAGACCCGTTCACACTCTATCAGCTTTTTGTGTCTTGCACTGTCTTTGGGGCTTTCCATTCTTCATTATAACAAAGATCTAACTCTTGCCAAATAATCATGAGTTCGTTGTAATAGTCTGTGACTTTGCGATTGCCTTGCTTGGAATGCCATAACTTTGATTTTAACTCAAAGATTTGAGAAGAATTCTCAATATTTGAGTATGTTTGCTGAACCACATCACATACATCTTTGGCTGTTGGCAAATAAAGGAATGGTCTGCCAATTCCTGGCTCCATGAAGTCAATTTACCAAGCTGTTATCATGGAATTTTGAGATCGCCATATCTTTACTTTCAGATCATATCCAGCAGGTTGTCATTCTTCACCATTCGAAAAACCTAGTTTGCCTTTGCTGTCGATGACGAGCTTCATAGATTGAGGCCATTCAAAATAGTTCTTACCATTTAATTTGTGAACTGTTATTGTAGAGAATGAGATAAATCTGAACTAGGAGGCAAAGTTCCCGGACTGGATTCATCTTCTTCAATAATGAAGAAGAGCTGCTCCTTGTAGCTCCAATCATGGCCATCTTCACCATGGTCAGTAGGAAGTGACTCAAGCTAAACCCAGCTCTGATACCATGTAAGTTTTTGAGATGAAAACTTATTCTCGTATATCATTAATCTGCTATTAGAGTCCTATACAACGTAAATCACCTTAGACTATAGGACTCTCCTAATGGATAGAATCTAATAAAACAGTAAACCAAAAATACAACAAAGTGTCTGTTTGGGAGTGATTTTGAGAATTGATTTTTTGACCGTTAGGAGAAAAGTGGGATTCACCTGTAAGAGAAGAAGTCAAATATGACGGTTAGAATAGTGAAATAACGGTCAAAAAATCACTCCCAAACAGGCTGTAAGTATCTAAATATAACAATTTCAGATTTATTCAAAACAATTCAAATAAATAAATCTCCTAACTTTTCGACACGTTGTTTATAAACGGTTCAAATCATAAATAGATAAAAATTAGTGTTAGAAAAATGAGTAGTATTTCGAAATGTATAGATAAAAAGTAGTTTCAATGTTTTATAAAGATGAATCAAATATAGGTTTCTTAAGAAATATTTATTGAAACATATCTGATTTGATAAGGTCTTCCATGTGACTAAGAATTTAATTGAGTGACTAAATTGAAAAGATTAATAATATGAAATTTGTTTTCACTTCCCAATTGAAATGTCTCTTTATATTTGAATCAACAGTCTGTTGCTTTCTGTTGTGAAATTTTGGCAAATTAGCTTTAACAGTTTTTATTTTCACTTCTTATTCATGTTACTTGAGGAATAATCACGTGAAAAGCTTGCATAATCCAGTCTAATGTCGTGAGGTTTGTTACTTGTTAGATGGGTTGTTAAACAAAACTTAATAACATAATATTGCATTTGGTCTGCTCTTTTGAAGTTGTAATTTCGCAAAATACTAAAAACGCATTTGATCCGATATTTATGAAAATGCATTTTCAAAATAAGAATAAATTTATAACATAAAATTTAAAATGTATTTTTGACGTTTCGAGTGTATTCAATGAAAATTCTAGAAACACTCAAAATATAGAAAATAAGAGTTTAAATAAAATTAAAAAAAAAAAAAGAAAACTTCACAAAAATAAAATTTGAATTTTTAAACAAATAGAATTTAAAGAAAATAAAATTCCAAAAAAAAATAAAAATTTTAAAAAAATAAAAATTATAAAAAAAATTTTAAATAGTTCAAACTCTTAATATTTATTTGCATAAAAATTCTAAAAATTGAAAAAATAGTTCATTTCATTAATTTTTATTTTTATTTCCGATATTTTAAACATCATCTATCATTTATTTTTATTTTATTTTATAACAAAAAAAATGTTGTAAGATTCACCAATTTAAATGTGTGTGTGTATTATATATTAAAATTTTAAATTAAACTTGTTTTCTAGTTTTCTGTGCTTTAAGAAATAGTTTTTCAAAATGGCAAACCGAATATGTTTTTAACAATCTTAAAAACAATCTCATAACAAAAAATTGAATATCGAAATATAAACCAAACGAGCCCTAAACTTTCATATTTTTCAATAAAAGAAAAACTCCTTCAAACAATTATTTATTATATATAATATATATTAAATATTATATCAAGTGAGAAATATTTTTTGGACAATTTTATCCTTGCTCTAATTCAATTCTTTCCATAACACCTTACTTTTCGTTTTTCAACATGTATTAATTTTCAGTTAAAAATCCTCTTACATTCCCTAAATCATTCATATACCCAATAATTAACAATTATTTTTCCAATTAAAACCCTCCACCCTCGTTCATAGCCTTTGCCTTGCACTGCAAATGTGTATGCATATAATTGGTGGGTTTGGTGAATAAGTTTCTCAAAAGAGATTAATTCTCCCAAGTTTCATGTACTCTATATATTTTCAAGATTATTCAACTAATCTAGGAGTAACTAAATTATTAAAATTCATGTGCACTTATTTATTTTAAAAATTATTTGTTTAATTTATGATACAAATTATTTTCCAAGTTCACATACGCACCCTTTTGTCTAAATTAATATATATATAAGATTCCTTAATTCAAATTAATTAGATTCCATGTTCATAAATGTATTTAATTGTTTTCATGAGTATTTTGACGTAAATGAATTGATCTCCCAACTATTTAAACTCTTCCACGAATAATTTAGACATTTTATTCATCAACCTTATTGAAATTTATTTGACAGGCTTTCTATTTTGACGATTTTTTTGTGAATGGTAATAATTTTTAGGTGGCCAATAATTTGGTTGTATGAACCATAAATATAGCAAATTTTGACGGAACTCAAGGCCTTCAGAAGGACCTCCCTACACAGGGTACTCAATAGTCAATACGAAGCAAAATAAGATTATTGCGTTATGTTCCGCTCGATATTATAGATATGTATGTTGAAAATTTTATAGATATATTAATACGACTATCACCATCATTTGTCGGATCAGATTCAAAATTCCACAATAATCGTATGATATACTTGAGATTTTTTGCATTATGATATTACTTGATGAATAAAAATTTCATTCCACATAAACAATTTGTATTAACTATTTTTTATACTCACGAAATATTGCTTTTGTAACACTTATAAAATATTTTAGAAAAACGTGTTACACACGTTCAATTATGACTATTACTTTAAAAGGGCATTAGCCAGCCCAATACTCATCCAGCTACCCTAGGCCGAGCTGGGCACATCTCGGCCCAAAAAACTTCAGTTGCCTGTCGCACAAATAGGAACACAGAATAAAGCAGCATTTCTGTTTTCTTAAGAAATGACGAGGTTTTTATTTACCCCAAAAGAACTTGAAAGAAACAAAGAAAAAATGTCAAAACAATTTCTACATATCTAAAGCTTCATGCTAAGCTTGATTCTATAATACCCCCCTTTTCTTCAAGAACCACCAATTACAACTCATCATCAGCCAACCCGCCTGTAAAAAAAATGTCTGAGTCGTAATTCTCCAGCTTCAAGCGAGTCATATAACTAACTATTTGGGAACATGCAAGTTCACGAGCAGCTGGACCATCATAATATATTTATCATTCTTAACCGTTTGGTTCGGGAAAGATAAGAGACACAACCAGAGTTATTACCCTTCACCAGTCAGTTGATTCGATAAAATGACTCTGATCCAATCTCTTCCTCCAATGGCATCATATTTAGATCTGGTAGAATAAAGCCTCCATTGGATGTCTCTGTGTCTTTTAATTTGCAGGTATGAGATGAAGCCAGTTCAAAACTAGGACTAAGTCGATGCTCAGTGGTCGCACCCAAAACACTCGTTGACTGTAGATTTAGATCCAACTGCAAAATGGCAAATTCCTAATGTTATTCCTCCAATAATCAGAGCAAATGCAATAATGGTGCAGGCATAAGGATTACCTTCATTCTCTTCACGTTGTGGCTCCAAGCGCTCTGTTCACTGAAAGTCATTCGTGTTGAAGCTAATTCCTGTTTCACCAGTTACGGAATCTCAGTCAAATAGGACCAAACAAGTACAAATATGGATACAATAATCGCCAGTTGAATAATTTTTCAGTCAAATAAGCCTACCTTCCTCAAATGAAGTTTCTCCTTCAAAACCAAGTTATCATCCTCTTTGAGCTCAGAAAATGCCTGCCAAGTGCCAGCGGTAATCATTCATTCATTAATATTGAAGAACGACGCATCATTGTCCGTACACATGCATATTTAAGCCATAATAAAGTAGTAATTCAATTGTTAAAGATGACGGTGCAAAGAAAGGAATTCGTGATACAATATTAACTGGTTCAATAGAATCAGATTCGCAGCATACTTGACAAAACATAAATGCATAATTATTCAAAAAAAGGTTGAGATAAAATCAATTAAAAATAAATATAGTACAACACATGGACGCGACGTGGAAGGGCTCCACATGACTTCAGGACTACATAGGAAGGAGAAATAAGAGGGGGACAGCTTACTAGTCATCCTCTCACGCCCATTTCAACTTCTCCAAATGACTGAAATTTGACGTAAAGGGAATAATCCATTGTATTCTCTCCACAAATTTCAGCCTGCACCTCATAAGCTAAATCCATGAGACTCTACCCTACCCTACTAGAAAATTAGTCCTGACCCAAGTAGTAAAATAAACTAATATGATGTCATAAAATTATAGGGATGCTCTACAAGATCATCCGCTCACGTGCCACGAAAACAAAAAGTGGCTTCTCATGGCAGCAAGAAGAACAACGCCAAACATGATCCAAGGGCACATCCAAATGAAGCCGCTTAAAAAAAGCAAGGCCAAACATGCTCTAAGGGCACATCTGGATATGCATACATAAAACAGGCTGCTGTAGACACTCCGGCAAAACAAAATAGTCGACATGTTCTAGCCAACAATCAAAAATGCATAATAAATTTGATTCCACAAGAGCCCCCCAAAAGAATTCACTAAACCATACGCGCCCATAAACACAAAGACGTAAACCAGATCTAAATTCCCCACAACCGGGGTCCCACTTCTTCTTCATGTGGGGCCCTGCTCAAGACCCATTTGTAGGGTGGGTTCAACCAATGGCATCAAGACCGGCCACAAATTTGACTATTTGGCAGGGGTATTTTCGTCATTCAAAAGAAACTACTAGCATAAAACAAACACTCGTGAAAAACTGAAAAAAAGGTTTAGCGGATCTGGCGTTTCAAAAGAGAAAGGTACTCATATATTGAAAGCAGCGCTGACGATGAGGCATTAACAGGTCATAGGAAGAAAGAGGCGAGAAGAAATCGGGGTTTTCACGGGTATTTAATAAATTCCCACACTCCAATCGCAAAACAAAAGGCAGATTACAATTTTAAAGGTCATCCATTAATGGCTGATATAAATCCGTAATTTGCCCAAAGTTTTCCTAGAAGTATAAACAGAAAAACGAGGAGAAATGGAAGGGAAATTTTCTGAAAATGTGTTTTAACTGGAAAAAAAAGAAGACAAAATTCCAGAAATTTGACTATTTTAAAAACTGTAAACTGGTAAAAAAAAAAAGGACCAGAAATCACGATAAATATTGTTTACGTTTTCGAACACGAGAATGTTAATTCGACCTTGGAGAAGCTAAAATTAGGAAAATATGGCCCAGATTTCATTAGGAATTCTATCGACCTGAAAACGCGATAATTTTTTATAGATCGGACGGCCAGAAATCAGGCGCGAACGTCGAAAAACCTACGGCAACGTTATTCGTTATACACGATAGTAATAAAGAAGGTATCCTCAAAAGAGAAGAAAATAACGCAAAAATCTGAAAATTGTTATCGTTGGTTAGAAACGGATAGAGGAGATGAAAAAGACGTAATTAACGTCATCTGAAACAGGTGAAAAGGGTTAAGCGGCGGAAGAAGTGACACAGGTAGAGATCTACTCCAACCAGAAATTTGCAACAATCTTCACGCTTAGAGAAAAACGAGACTACAAACCTTGGATCTGACGGAGGAGGATGGATCGGAAGGTAGGCGGCTTGTCTCGTCATAGTCGCCATCGCTTGGAGAGGTAGCGCCGCCACTCCACGATGTCAGCGGAGTGGTAGGGCTAAATCTCGTGTTCGTAGTAGTGGTGGTGGCGGACTCCTTTTTCATAACAGTGACCGGCTTGGACCGCGTCTGGCGGATTCCCCACTTTTGCGGCGGCAAAGGAATAGAGCAAGGAGGCTTCGAAGAGGGCTCCGATGAAGACAACTTCCGGATACGTAACAGTAGTTCCACCACCACCGTGTCGTCCGTCAACGCCGCCCTTATCCAATCGTCCTTCATCACCACCGGCACCGGGGTTCTTCTTCAGCTATCACAAGATTCAGTGAAGATTATAGATGAGATTTTTGGGAGGGTGCATAGACTATTGAGAGAGAAAATGAGTGCCGATGTAGAGAGAGAGAGAGAGAGAGAGTGAGAGAGAGAGAGAGAGTGAGAGGAGAGCGTGGATTATGCAAAGTAAGGGGAGGCAGAGAGAGAGCGCGTGCGTATATATATACGAGGGAGAAGCAGAAGAACTCAATAGCGGAAAAATCAGAGTACCGTCAACTTGAGCGATTTTCGATTTCATTTCGTTGAAAGTAGGTAGGTTCTCGATGTACATTTTTAAATAAAATAAAATAAAATAAATGACATGTTAAAATAAAAAATAACTAGAAACCAAAAAATATCAAGAAAAATAAAATCTGTCCATAACCAGGTTGACGAATGGCGATAGGGGATCGGCATTTTTGAAGGGATTGGAGGCCCAAAACCGAGTTAAGATTTGATGCCCAATTTTGCTTTAGGTAGGTTCTCGATGTACATTTTTAAATAAAATAAAATAAAATAAATGACATGTTAAAATAAAAAATAACTAGAAACCAAAACATATCAAGAAAAATAAAATCTGTCCATAACCAGGTTGACGAATGGCGATAGGGGATCGGCATTTTTGAAGGGATTGGAGGCCCAAAACCGAGTTAAGATTTGATGCCCAATTTTGCTGTCCATTCAATTAATTTTTAACATATCATTAATAATTAACATATTTATTTTAAATTTATCTTCATTAACTTAGAATTAATTGAATTGATAGAAAAATTGGACAACAGATCTTGATTCCTCAAAACCTTGGGAAGAAAACACCTTTAGGGAGTGCGAATCTGATCCGATTATTAATTCAAACAAATTATGGAGTTACGGACTCAATAATTTATCTAGGATCTATTGATTATTGCTTATTGAAGCTGGTCGATTTTATCCTTCTCAAGACTGCATTTAAATGCTCAATTAGGTCATACGGAGGAAAGATGGAATATGCATAAGTGCTTAAGTAAATAGTAGTACAATTCAACTTTTTTCCTCATATAGGACTCTCTTATATATACTCTAACATGTGCCATCATGTTTGGAGATGGTTATGCGATTTCTCGTGATTTTTAACACATTATGGGCCCTTATCGATTGTTCTATTTCAATAATCCTATTTTAAATCATTTCAACAATCGATTATTGGTTCTCATAATCATATCCTAATGTAATATCAAATTATGTTTATATTTTGTATTTTTATCAGTCCCATAGATTTTCATATATAACTTTTGAATAATGTTATGTAGTCCCATAAAACAAGCTATGACCATAACCCATGTCATGGCCCCACTGACTTTTCAATGCCCTTTGTCTAGAAATTGCAATTTCAATCTAAGCCCCCGTTTGATCCCTATTAAATTTAATTACATTACATTTCATTTTTCTCTCTCCTATTTTTAACCATACAATCTTCCATAAAATAATATTACACGTAAATCGAAAACTTTTCCTTCTTTTTCAACTACTCATTTTTCTAAAAAATATTATTCCCCCCATTTTCATTTTCAGGTAATGGGGGTTAAACGATATCTAAAATAACGCTAGATAATAGATTAAATGAAAAATCACCTACCATATAATGTCATATTATATGAACTAAATAGCATTGCATTACCCATCATAAATTTTTGCTAATGGACCAATTGAAGTTTTTCTACAAATTAACACATTTATTATTGGCCACGTTTATACATCCATACTCCAAATAAATTTAGCAATAATTAACAATAAATGCTAACCCACCCAGACCTCTAAACATTGAATTCCAATTCAGCCGCAGATTGTCCTGATTCTGATTCATTTAAAACACAATAGGGTTTTATTTCTGTTCATACACAAGGATCCATCAAGTTAGAGTTGCTTGCTGGGGCCCCCAGGGCATATCTCCCAGTGGCAAAAGGGAAGGCGGATAGGACTCAGGGCGGTAGTGTGCAGAGTTCGATTTCCCGTAAAGTGGAATTGACTTTGTTGCAAGCGGGAGTTACCATATGAGTTAACAGCCTTGGCCTATCCATGTGCTCTCCACCCTGGCTCCTGGGAGGCACATCCTGCGATTTACCTCCTCCACGATGACTTAGGGCAGGGTCAGTGGGGGCCCTTAAAGTTGGAGTTCAACCTTTTTTTTTATTTTTAGAATTGCTTGCTGGGTCTCCAACTCCGAGGACCATATTGTTTTGAAGAAATATCTATCTACTTCAAGAATCGCAATAAAATCGAGATAAGTTCACAGAAAAATAGTACATCAGTCTCAATATAGAAACGAAACTACAATTATAAATTTTAATATTACTCATTGCATTTTGGCCTCAACCCATACAACCCATAGCTACGTACATCATGACACTAGAACCCGCAAATCCCATTCTCCTGCCGACATTAAAAAGTTTTATTGACTTTGAAGAAAATGTAAATAAAATTCTCATGCCACATCAATATTAGGGACAGTCTTATCCTACTCACTATAATCAAGATTACAATTTCGATCATCTAAATACTACCGTATAACATAAATTATTACAACTAAGGTTAAACATCCCAGGTTATTCCAGATCACAGCTGTTGTCTTGAGTGATAGTACACGTCGGATTCCACCGTGGAAATCATCACTTGCCTCCGACCCGACCAAACGAAACTACAATTATAAATTTTAATATTACTCATTGCATTTTGGCCTCAACCCATACAACCCATAGCTACGTACATCATGACACTAGAACCCGCAAATCCCATTCTCCTGCCGACATTAAAAAGTTTTATTGACTTTGAAGAGAACCGTAAATAAAATTCTCATGCCACATCAATATTAGGGACAGTCTTATCCTACTCACTATAATCAAGATTACAATTTCGATCATCTAAATACTACCGTATAACATAAATTATTACAACTAAGGTTAAACATCCCAGGTTATTCCAGATCACAGCTGTTGTCTTGAGTGATAGTACACGTCGGATTCCACCGTGGAAATCATCACTTGCCTCCGACCCGACCCAAATAAGGGAAATTCTTTAGCCAGATCGGAGCCACGAAATCTAAGCAGTAAACCAGAGCTTCGTTCTTTAGCCCAGTCAGAGTCAATCAAGATCGAGCATGAGGAGCCTTCTGAAATCACCGGAGAAATTATTGCTTTTACTGTCGAGGCTTTTCTTTTTGCAGAACGCCGGTAGAGGAAGTGAGCTTGGGGCAGGCGATAAAATGAAACCCGTCCCAGCGTAAATATCCATCTGTTTCGATACCGTCTTGGAGGTCGGAACCACCAAATCCTTGGTGACCGTCTTCGCCGCGATCTCCGAGTTCTCTTCTTTCTTAATTACCAACGAGTCGTCCAACGACGTCGTTACATCAGCCAACACTTGGCCGCGTTTCAAAATTTTTACCTTCTCCATAATCAGACTCTTGCTGTCGTCATCTGACGACGCTTTGGTTGAATTCCTACTATTAGCAGGACTCCTTTTCCGGCGACGGACTTTGGCTGGAGTAGAGCTAGGGTTAGGGCTAGAAGGAACCAAATTTTTGGGATTTTTCCTGGATTTCATAGGTGGTTGGATTAAATTATTTCGATGTTTACAACTGAATTGATTCTTCAAAATATCTTGTGGATGAAGAACTGCGACTTCTCCCATTGAATATCGAGATGTTCGCGACAAAATATATTACAAAAATAAATCAAAGACTAAGAACAAAAAGAATTGAGAAGGGGAGAATTGAACAAATCTGGTGAGATCTAGAGAAATATTAAATTGATGAAGAAATTTATTGGGTTTATCGAAGTTATAAATAGGCAATCAAAGTCGGCCATGGGAAGGTTGAAAGTCGGCAGGATTGATAACGTGCGCGAGGGTTTTTCTACGAGTAGGAATTGGGCTTAGCGTGTTAGTCTCACGGGTAAATTTCCTTATCCTAATGCCTTGGTTGACACGGTACCTAACTTTATATTTTATTGCATTCGAGTCCCTAGTGAACTTTTATTTTCCTTTCTCTTATTTTTTTAGGGTTGCACATACAAAACGACATCCCTATCATTACTAAAGGAAAAACCCAGAATTGTACATGAACTTCTACGCGTTTCGGGAAAGAAATATGAATCAAAGAAAAAATCAAAAAAGAATGTTTAATGTTGTCAATGACGGGCCACGATGATAACTTTGGAAGGCGTTTGATTCATTTTATGATTGGATTATAAAAAGGAGTTTTAGAGAGTCCTATGAAATGTTTGAATAATAAATCATATTTTGTTCGATTAAAATATTTGATTAAAATTTAAGTTAAAATCAACAATTATTTTAATCACATTTGCGGAAGCTCTCAACTTTTCTACCACACAGTCCATTGATGTTTATTAAAATTTATTAAAAATATGATTTTTATTAAAATCAAAAATGGGCTAAAGATGTAGTAATTGTGAATGTGTGATTAAAATTAATTTTTAACTTTGACTTTATTTTATAAAGGGAAACTTGCAGTCAAGATCGGTACCAAACTTTTTACTTTTATGCAGATTTGACTCAAATATTTAATTTGTAGTTCTCACAGTATCAAACATTTCGAAAACTAGCATCTAGTGTTCAAATTAATAGGAATAATTAGATTCTTTTGTTAGTAGACCAAAAATCAAAGATTTGACCAAAAGTTGACTAATTTTTAGAGGGCAAAAGAGTAACTTTACATTTTTTTAATATAAAAATACGAAAATAAAAGGATTAAATCAAAAATATAAAAAAAAAAAAGAAAAAAAAGAAAAATACTATTCATCTTTTTCCTCATCCTTCCACACCTCACTGACCCCAAAACCAAAAGCCAGAAACCATCTAAACCATCGGCACCATCGCTCGATGACCACTATTGTTACGCCCCTCATCAAACCACTTCAGAACGTCGAAGACCACTCCTATATGAGGTGCCACATGTCCCTAGAAAGTAGTTCAGAAGCGATGTCAACCTCAGTCGAACTTCAACTTGACGCACCGCAAGGCACACACATCACAAACTAAACCTGCTGAAGCAGCCGAAGCGTCCTCCTGAAATCGAAGCGTTTGGCACTCCGAGGTGCTCCCTTAACAGATCCCTCCGCTGCCAATTTCAGAAGTATATCTGTGTCAGGATCCTCTATGGATGTGACACCCCCATGAGTCTAATTGATGTGATATCAACTCAACTCAGGAGAATTAATAACCCGCCCACTCTAGATGCGGTTGATTGACACCTACGAGCAGACGTCTCACACTGTCGGATGTATACATGTGTCCCACATCCAACGATGCTTCTCGTCTATAAATACTCAAGGTTTGGCAAGAGACAAAGGTAATCAAACTCTTTCAAAACTTGACACTCCACATTCAATATTATATGTTCTTCTCTCCACTCTCTTGCACAATTTTGATGATCGACCACTGACTTGACCGTCGGAGTGTATGCGGTTGCCACCACTCCCATTGGTTCCGACCGTGTGCTCCTGACCATGTGTTGTTGTGCGCAGGGAGGAGCACGTGGAGTAGCTCTCGATTGGCCACTTGGAGGCCCAATTCGCGATGTCAACAGATTGGCGCAGTCTGTGGGAAACTTCCAACCAAAGAATTCCCCATTTACCATCGGAAAAAGCCACCAGAAAACTATTGACTTACCTTGAAAAAGGGACATTCGTGAAAAAGAACCAAGTCAACTTACAGTCTAAAGTTCATAACACCCTTGAAAAAGGAGTGAGAAAATGAGTTACAGCAATGAGGATGCAAATCTTGAAGGGCATAGAGACGCCTCTGAAAAAGAGGTGCTCCGGACCAATGTCACGCACCGGAGACCCCATCACCAGCGTTGTCGAGGCAACAGGACAACAACACTCATGGAAGAGATGACTCAAATAACTGCATGCATGAAAGACATTGCAGCCTAAAATCTGATGATGCGTGAATTCTTCATGCAAGCCCAAGGTCAGCAGAGCTTCCCAATGCCACAAGGGTTACATCCAATTCAGGGAGAAATCCCTGCATCTCATACTTGAGGTCATTTAAACCACCATAGAAAACACCCCCATTGAGAGAGAAGTGGGGAGTGGATGTCACATCTTATGCCCAGGGCAGTCAAGCGAAAGAACCATAGTTGGGAAAAAATTTTCCACGAGAAGACGAGCCACAAAGGTTGGTTAGTGTTTTTGACCGGATTGGGCAGAACTCTAGCAATAGGGTTTGCTCCGTACGATGATCAGCTTAGCAAGAACAAGGGCAAGAACAAATACCGCCTCCACCTCCGCCTAGAAATAGGCGTGAAAAGAGGAACTTGGTAGATTGGGGTAGTCAAGTAGAGGTACCTCCACCTCCCCAAAATGTGTCAGAGGAGGAAGGCTCTAAGGGGCCATGTCGCTCTTACGAAATTGATGACGATGATGACAACCTCCCTTTCTCCAGAGAAATTTGAAGCTTCCCAATACCTGCGAACTTCATGTCCCCTAAAATCTCTAAGTATAAAGGAAAGGGGACCCACAAAAATACCTCAAACCTCACTAAGTACATAACGCAGATGAGCCTCAAAGGAGCTGTTGAGGTGTGGTACAGCGTGTTACCACCTCTAAGCATCAGAAGTTGGCTAGATTTGAAGAAGGCATTTTTGAACCAATACCTCTCGCAAAGGGAAGGAGAGGCCTCAGTGCAATGCCTATAAGATATGAGGCAAGCCCCTGGCGAGACACTGAAAAGTTATCTCGCCAGATTCACTGATGAAATTACATACTGTGAACAAGTCACGGATAGAGAGGCCCTCTCAGCCTTAAAAGGAGGCCTCAACATGAACACATTATTCTGGAAAGACGTGCGAAGTAAAAATTCAGGCACTTATGACGAACTGGTTGAGATGATGAGAGTGAAAATCGTCAATGAGGAGATGATTGACCACCGAAATCGTGTAGTTCAGGGAAGTCCTCCACCTCGGAGGCAGATAGGTCAAGGACCAATGACACACCTCATCACCTAGCAATGGACCCAGGCAGGTCACACCGTAGCCCCCACATTCGGACAGGCATTGGCTTCAGCAACCCTAAATGCGGTGCCGGTACTAGCATATGAAAATAACCCTGCCGCAGCAGGGCCATCCAGAGGGACAAACAATAATCGACGCAAGAAGAAAAAATAGTCGAACAGGCTCCCGAAAGGGGCAAAGTTCTACACATTCCACCAACTATATGGCCATGACATCAGCGAATGAAGGGACGGGCCTCGATCCTCAAATCAGAGCAACTCAAGGTCCTCCAGGAGGGATCATTATCATGGACACCCTGCAGGTCTGCTTCCTCCAACAAAGAGTCGAGGCGACAAAAGGATAAATCACCTTGAAGGGGAGAAACAAGTGATAGATCTCGAGGAAAATCTATGCAAAGGAGCCAAGCCCCAGCCACCGAGGGCAATACTATCCGAAAAATTGATACAATCATTGGAGGACCTCACATTGGAGGGAATACCAGGAACGCACAGATGAACTATACAAGGGAAGCGAAAGACCCACCAATGATTACATGCATTGTCAACCAGTCCCAAACTAACAAAGCAGCTCCAATCACCTTCTCTCAAGAAGATTCGCAAGGTGTTCATCACCCTCACTGCGATGCGTTGGTGGTAAGAGCCGTTGTGGCTCGGAACGGACTAAAGCGCATGCCGGTCAACAATGGAAGCTCAGTGAATATACTGTTCGGATCAACCTTTGACAAGATACATATCGAGCATGGCTTGGTTCCCATGGCCAACCCAATATTTGGACTCACTGGTGATAGTATTATCCCACGAGGAAGAATTACTTTGCCTGTTGAGATAGGATCAACACCCCTAGTTGCTCATCACTTCAGGGAGTTTTTAGTGGTGGATCATGGGTCAGCTTACCATCGGGTACTGGGCCACCTGTACTAAAGGACCTCTGGGCTGTGACTTCCATTCACCACTTATGTATGAAGTTCCCAACTGAGCATGGGATCGCGAAGATCTGAGGCAACCAAATGGGCTTGAGATCATGGTACCTCAACTCCCTATGAAAATCTAAGCCCCGCATTGTGAATTTGATAATAACCGATGCAACAAATGAAAAAAATGGATGTAGAGATGCTTGACGTCCTGAACAAGGGTCTACCCCTGAACGGGGAAAAGACGTTGACATGATCGAGGTCCATGAAGAAGGGCACCCTCTTGATGAATTAGATCCTCAGATCATTGATTCTGAACCAAATGCAACCCCTATGAAAGAGCTTGAAACTTTCCCTACCAACTCTCAAGACCCCACTTAGGTCTTGTGACTAGGGAAAGCTTTGCCCCGTAAGATGAAAGAAGAACTGACGAACTTGTTGAAAAGGAATTTGGACGTCTTCGCATGAAAGCACGAAGACATGGTGGGAATAGACCCAAGGGTCAGCTGTCACCACTTGAATATTAACCCCACTTGCACGCCGCATCTACAAAAGAGGCGAGCACTCAATCCAGAAAGATATAAGGCGCTGAAAGAAAAAGTTGACAAGCTAAGTCGCAACGATTTCATCAGAGAAGCCATTTATTCAAAGTGGATATCCAACCCAGTGCTTGTAAAGAAATCCAGCAGGAAGTGGAGGGTGTGCATTGACGTCACCGACTTGAACAAAGCTTGCCCAAAGGACAGCTTTTCCCTTCCAAAGATAGACCAAGTCGTGGACTTCATTGCTGGACATTAACTCTTGAGATTCATGGATACTTATTCAGGGTATAACCAAATACCCATGTTCCGACTTGATAAAGAGGCCACATTGTTCATCACAAACCGAGGAATATATTGCTATAAGGTGATGTCCTTCGAATTAAAAAATGTCGGCACCACATACTAG